AAGCGAAGGTGTTGGAGCTGTGTTCGAAGTCCAAATCACTTATGCAACGGGGAGGATTCAATTTAAGAAAATGGAAAACGAATTCAAAGATTGTGCAAGAGGCAATCAATGGAATGAACGACCGCGCGAATCCAACAACTGAACCTGGAAGCACGAAGACCATTACCGAAGAAGACGAATCGTACGCAAATACTACGAACGGACCTGCAATTGCGGATGGCAGTACCACCGAAAACGCAATCGTTAAAGTATTGGGCTCAATTTGGAACACTGACACCGACCAGTTTACGCTCGATTTGGTAGATCTCTCGCAACACGCAAGTTTACTCCCGACTACGAAGCGATCGTTTTTAAAGATCTCAGCCAAGATATTTGATCCTCTCGGACTGTTGAGCCCGTTTACTATCCAGTGGAAGGTCTTATTTCAAGAACTTTGTATTGAACGCACCGATTGGGACGACCAGTTAAAAGGTGATTACTTGAAGAAATGGAAATCACTCATTCTTGAGTTTCAAACACTCAACAGTGTTTGTATTCCAAGATGTTGTTTCGACTACACGTCTGGCAATTTGAAAGCAGCTGAACTGTTTCAGTGACGCTTCAGAAAAGGCTTACGCTGCAAGCATTTACGTTCGCTCCATTTATGAGGATGGACGCATTGATTGTAGAAACAAAGCATCCCTAGGCTTGAGCTACTTGGCGCTACGATTCTCGTACGTTTGGCTAAAACCGTTCAGAACGCCTTGCCTCTGAAATTGGAAACCGTGTTCTGGGTCGACTCAATGACTGTTTTATGTTGGATAAGGAATCTCAAACCTTGGAAACAATACGTCATGAGCAGAGTACAAGAAATTCGAGTGCATACAACCCCTGATTCGTGGAGGTTCTGTCCAGGCAACCAGAACCCAGCCGATATTTCGTCACGCGGCATGTCCGCAAGTGAATTAGTCTCCGAGAAAAGGTGGTGGAACGGCCCTGAATTTCTGTTCAAGGACGAAAGGGAATGGCCACAGGAGGACAATATCCAATCGGATAACAAAAATGTCTGTAAAGAAATCATCCAGAATCCTGTAACTACTACACACGCTTTGATCAGCAGTACACAAGTGACGCAAATTGGCGTACACCAAATAATAGACGTCAATCGCTATAGCAGCTGCAAGAAACTACTACGAGTTACTGCCTACGTTCTGCGATTTACCAGAATATCAAAGAAAGACAAAAGTCTCGAATTATGTGCCGAAGAAGTTCGATCGGCAGAAGAACTTCGGATTAAGTCCATACAGTACCAATCCTTTCCGGACGAAATATGCCACTTGGTGACGGCAAGAAAATTACCCGAGCCACCTCTCATGCGACAATTCAACCTCTACCTAGATGACAGTGGTGTTATGCGGTGTAGAGGAAGAATTCAAAACAGTCTACTAAATCAAGAAGCCAAAACTCCAATTTTGTTGCCCTCAAAGCATCATGGTGTTGAGTTGATCATCAAGCCACACACAATCGAATGTTACACAGTGGAGTAAACACAACTTTGACGACGATGAGGGAGCGATTCTGGATAATACGAGGACGACATAGGACGGTACAACACCATAAATTGCCTTAAAAGTTAGCCGGGATCAATGTTTTATACTCAATTCTAAAACAAACTGGAAGCCAATGCACACGAATTAAGGTAGGTTTTATGTGGTCAAATTTAGGTGCTCGACAGACTAATCGGGCCGCACAAGTCTGTATGCGCTGAATCTTAGCAATGTGTGTTGCAGGAGTATTGAAAAGCAAACTATAATCGCAATAGTCTGTGCGACCTATAACGATGGTATAAACAAGGGACTGAGTGGTCTCGCTTGTAAGATACTTTCTAATACGTCTTATGTTGTAGAGATGGAAAGAGGCGGCTTTACACAGCTTATTTCTGAGTGACCATGGTCATGTTTTCTTCGAACCAGGGGCCCGTTTCTCAAAAGTCCCGATAAGCTGACCTTTCGTGCCCGCAAAGCGGTTTTGTGTTTGTCTTGTTTGCATTCAAGGTTAAAGTTCCAATAATTTTGAGAATGATACAATGAAACCATCAGTTAACGAAGCAAAATTGAGTGGTTTTTAAGTTAGGAAATGTGCAACTTTTCAAAAGGTGTTGAGTCTAAGATTTGCTTTCGAGCCCGCAAAGTTACCGAGCCTTTCGACAAACGGGCCCCAGTTGGACCCGAGAAAGGTGCAACACCATAGATTGCCTTAGAATTTAGGATCAATATTTTATACTCAATTCTACAACAAACTGGAAGCCAATATAGACAAATTAAGATAGGTGTTATGTGGTCAAATTTAAGTGTTTGACAGATTAATCGGGCCGCACAACTCTATATGCGCTGAATCTTAGCAATGTGTTTTGCAGGAGTATTGCAGAGCAAACTATTGCAATAGTCTGCGCGACCTATAGCGATGGCATAAACAAGGAACTGAGTGGTTTCGCCTGTAAGATACTTTCTAATACGTCTTATGTTGTACAGATGGAAAGAGACGGCGTTACACAGCTTATTTCTACGAGTGACCATGCATGGTCATGTTTTCTTCGAACCAGGGGCCCGTTTCTCGAAAGTCCCGATACCTTTTTGTGCCCGCAAAGCTGTTTTGTGTTTGTCGTGTTTGCATTCAAGGTTAAAGTTCCAATAATTTTTCAGAATGATACAATGAAACCATCAAATTGAGTGGTTTGTAAGCTAGGAACTGTGCAGCTTCTCAAAAGGATTTGACTTTAAAATTTATTAGTAAGCGTCACCTACACAAAGGCTAGCAAAGATCACTTTCGCCAACTGCTGCCTACTGCCTATTATGATGAATTCCGTCTTATCTGTCTTATTATCGTTCAAACAGAGTTTGTCCTTGATCATCCAACATCTAACTGCATCCACACAAAGCCCCATGGAATTAACTGCATCGATCTGTGAGGACATCGAGTCAGCCACAAAGAAAGATACAGTTGGGTGTCATCCGCATATGCGTGGGCTTTGGGGAGGTACTTTTAATGACCTCAAATAATTTACTCGCATGCATAGCTCATGAATAGTTAAGGACGTAAGCACGATCCGTGAGTGACACCCGAGCTAACAGAACGTTCTCTGAAAGTTTCTGGTCGAAAGAAACGCGTTGAGACCTATTAGAGAGATAAGACGCAAACCAATGTAAAGCAGAGTCACTGACGCCAAAGCTCGTTCTCAGTTTACTGGGACAAAGGACAAATTACAAGCCGTCTTGTTTTAAGGCCATTTCTTGGCAATTGTTATATTGCAAATTCAGGTTATAGTTATTGCTTTTGTATCTTTGGAGTACTAAGAAATTTTATCAAGCAAATCAATCAATCGTGCAGGTAATACCCTGTTTATATTTAGGAGAGACACGCACGAAATTAAATACCCTGTTTTGGACAGAAAATAAATCCCCGCCCATAGACCATGTAGCCAACTCTCTCGAAAGCGATCACCCTTAGTGCACGATTAAGTCGTCGCTTTCGGGAGATGGTAGTCAACAGGAAAAATTAAGAAATACATCTGTAAACTCAAACTGAAATGATTAACGTTATTACATAAAGTTATCCCTCTTCAAGCTAAAATTAGCAAAATAGACAACTAATTCTATTTATTTATCAACTTTTTATTTTTCGGGGGGACTTTTTTAAAACTCTTTCACATTTTTTTCTTGACACCTCCCCCTCGATCCCCGCGACTCCAAAAAATTAGCCATACAGTCTGTTACCGTGACATTTGTCAACTTTACCACTCACCTCTTTCATCTCTGTCTCTGCTGTCGTGTCTGTCGTCTGTGTAGTCTTATCCTTAGCACTTGCCATCTCCTGGTAATAAAACGCCACAAGTGAAACTTTAGAGAAACTGAAAGTATAAACCACGAAATTCAGCTGTTCTTTAAAATTGTGCTATATGCTTTTCTATTTTTAAGAATACACTGTATAATAACAAAAGCAGATGGTTTCTCGCGATTTTACAAATTTTGTCCGAGACGGAACAATCTTCAAAGGCACCGCGAATGAAATTTGTCTCGGGTTAAAAAACTGGACAAACTCGCTTAAATAAACGAAGATGTGTTTTTCTTGTCAATCATTTTTTTGTAACGCCATCATCCTTTCAATAACTAATAAAAGATTTGACGGACTAAAAAGGGTAAAATAATTTATAGCGTGGGTGAATGTTAAAAACGATTGTCACCATACAATTTTTAGTTAGGATGTTTCAAAGAAAATTCCAAATTTGTCTGCTATAGTGCATGAGCCAGGAACCAAAAATGAGCTTGCCGGTACCACTCGGGGGGACAGTCTTATATCCCTAATCATGGAGGTCTAGGTCTGTAGTTCATGTTGCAGTCTGATAGCAAAGTTTAACTCACAGCTTTAAGGAAGGAGGCGCGCCTTAACTAACAACCTCTCCCATCCCCTTTAATGCTATTTTTGATGTCTTAAATGATTTCATGTGATTAGAGATTTCGCAAAATTCACAAAAATGCTTCAGAATGCAAGAGGAGAGCCTTAGAAGATTAAGTCCATCCATTGCAGATTGTGATGACTGTTGGACATTACAGTTTGAATGATCACGTGTTCAGTCACGTGATATGTACAAAGACAGAACGTCCTTTCTTTTCTACCCAGTTGAGTTGCTTTAACGTTGGAATCTGCTTCGTTCAAAACTTTTTATCTGAAAAAGACTGTATTTATTTTTAGTGCACATGTGAAAACATCCTTTGGACATGGAAAATTAGAACTTGATCCCAGTCTCCTAAACGGAAAATAGGGCCAAACTCGTTAATTTCATAGTCAACTGAGTCTTGTAGTTTTTTACTTTGATTAAACTGGCGTTTTGAGCTAAGGTGGTTATTTACGTATTCTTTGCCAGTATGTTCTCAGCATTTCCACTTAAGCAATTCAAATTTCTGAGTTACATACACAGGAAAATGTCTTATACAACATCTTATAAATACTCCAAGTTTGTCACTCAAGTGAATTTACACTCCTCCTCGGGGTCATTGTCAACGTCTGAACTACCCACTTCCATTTCGTCATCAGCGTCCACTTGATTTTCACATTTCGATAGAGTGCAAATATCTGTACACTTTAGACCATTTGCTACACAAGGACATGATTGAGAGTTGCAAGATCGTTTGCATTTATATTTACAAACCAGGAGTTCTAGCACAGCCTCTGGTGCAGGTTTCTTTTCCATCCAGTCAATACTAAGAACCTGAGAATCAGCAAGTGTTTCCATCTTCCAGCCCATACCCACTGGACTAGGAATGACCGGATTCCTTTCAAGACTTCTTCGCCAAATACATGCTTGATAATTTGCCCGCATGGCGTGCTTACTGAGGCAATCCTTGCAAGGGGGCAGCAAGTGAGATTCGATTTCACCGTTCTTAGCGCAGAACAAGTTGTATCTGACATCGTTGATATTACTCGCGGTTGCGGTGCTGGGAGTGTAAAGAGAGCAGGTAACCTTCTCTAATGCGTCCAACAATTCATCGGACAGATTCCATGCTTCTCCTAACTTGATGTACGCTTCTCTAACGTCTTCCCTTGCTTTCATTAGCTTAAATGCGCTGAGTTTTCCCTTGCCGGAAAAGGCACTAACGGTGTCACATCCGTGAACGCGTGAAGTCCGATAAGTCCTCTGCACAGCCTCTCACCCAAAGCTAGAGCCACCTTGCCTATATCTACCAGCTTTGTACGCGTATGAGTTCCGCATCTTTGATAAAGTTTGGCGTCGATAGATCTGCAAAATGCTACAAGTAGGATGAACACGTCAGCATATTCTGAGTTAACTATAACTGCAGCATAACCATCGTCCGAAGGCATGTTTAGCGTGAAGTACAAGGCGTGTATCGGCTTCTTCCTGGCAACTGATAAGCTCAGGTACTTCTTCACTTCCCTCTTCAGTAATCTTCCAACACTGACATTCACGGGTCACGTACAAGGTCTTTCCATTAAGTTTCTCTCTGTATTGTTGTCTCTTCCTTTCTTCTGCCAAAAATTTGATGAGGCTTGTCTTGTTTCGGACTTGAGCAAGGAACTTCCTCCATTGTCGTACAATTTGTGAGGCCGTTATGCTTGCAACCTGAAACCTCAGGTCCTCTCCAAAATTTGCTTTATTGGCCTTCCTAGGGAAACGCTCTGGTGTGGCTAATGCCCATGGCAAAGGGCCAAGACTGTGGCAAAGCAGTTCTCGCACTTCAATCTTTCTACTCTGACCTATTATCATCATTCTTCTAAAGACACTTCTGTCGGCCTTTAAGATAAGAGCACGCCCATTTGAGTTGACGGTCTTCTGTTTACCGAGGGAAGAGAACGTCTTCAGCTTGGTTAGTTTCAGAGGATCGTGAAATTTTGTTTTCGGGGTTGAACTTTCAATCCTTTCTGTCTTAAACTGTTGGTATGCCTTCTCTCCAACTTGCCGAGCTCGCATCAAATCATTGGCAACATCTAAAGGCACTTTTTGAGCGGTTGATATGCTTGACAGTTCTTGACTTTGGTCGAATGGGTTGTTCCAGCTTTCTATTAGGCTTTGAATGGACGCTACTCAATTTTAATCCTTCTCAATTCTTGGCTCATGCAGGTCGTCATGGTGAGCCGAAGATCTTTTTATTTGAACAAAGTCCCGTAGCTGTCCGAGAAAAGAACACCTGTATTCTGCCGTCATATAGTATCTGTTTACGGCGCTTGTCTTTAAACAGTAATTGGTCACGCCTCCTGGTTTCTTTGTGTCCTTGTTTACAGTTACTTAATCAGTTGTTTGATCGACAGGAATACGGCTAAATGACCTTTCATCTTTAGCTGTACAGTAAAGTGGCCATCCATAAACTGTTGATAAACATCAGGGTGCTCTTTCTCCAGACTTATCATCTAAGCTTAATAGGCTGGCAGATACCTGGCATAATGTACCTTGTCGCAAGCAAAGCACCAAGGTATCATCTTACGAATAGCGTGGAGGTGAAGGTGCCAGTTGCCCTCTCGAGAAGCGAGGATTAAAGCAAAAAGAACCTCTACTAACTGTATATAATGACATCCAAAAAGCGGACAGTTGTCGTTGTTACAGCGGAGAAAGTCGAGAAACAGTGTCCATAGTTCATACACTTGCTTTAGAGCTTGACTGTTTAAGACTTCATCGTGCTTCTGTTGGTTTAAGCCTGCTGTTAAGTCAGTGATGCTTTCTTGCACTGTGCTCACGACTGAGGACATAGTGGGATGGTTGCTTGCAACCCAAGGCTCAAACTGGTGCCATATTTCATATTCATATTTAACGGTTTAAGGCTTCGTATACACACTTGTGTATTCTTACTGCTCTGTTGTACATTTTTTCTTCTAGTGCACTTGAAACAGATCGCTCAGCCTTAATACCGGCTTCAACACAAAGATTTCGTAGCCCGGCGTCTTGAAAGCGTTTACCGATGATTGACAGCAAGTTGCATATTGTGTGGAATGTTCCAAGTCGTAATATGATACTTCCATATCTATTATGTTCTTTCCATGTGACTTCAGCTGCCTTAGCGAACAATGCTTGATCCATGACTACCACAATAGCGACAAATCCAGTATCTTTGTGATTTCGTCTGACCGACGTAAGGTCTCCTTAACGGTCGTCATCTAGATAGATAGATAGATAGATAGATAGATAATCTTTATTTATCCACGGTACAAAATTCGTCAGCTTGAAAAAAATGCCTAAAACTAATATAATAAAAATATTTAAATAAAAAAGCTGCTTTCCACGAATGCCGTGCCTTACAGTTCTTTGAGTAATCGTTTAAATTGCCCAAGGGACTCTGCTTCCCTTAAGTTACAAGGAAGACTGTTCCAGAGAATGGCACCACTATAGCTGAAGCTGTTTTTGTAATAGTTTGTGCACGGTAATGGAACATTGAGTTTATTTTCAGAGTCCCTTAGGTTATATGCGACTTCTCGCCTTTCAAATTTAGAACTAAGATAGTTTGGAGCCAACCCGTGCAGAGACCTGTAAACCATCGTAGCTCTTTGAAATTGTTGCTGGCAAGCTAGGTTTTTCCACCCTAGAAGTTTGAAAAGGTGACCAGCATCTACGTCATAGCTTGAGTAGGTCAAAACACGGGCTGCTCTGTTTTGTAGCTTTTGAATCTTATTCCGTAAGGTTATCCCACAGTTTCCCCAAACAATGTTGCAATAATCAAAGTGTGGCTGTATTAAAGCTTGATATATTAGTTGTAAGGTCGCCTGAGGGACAAGGTGCCTTATTCGTTTTATGGCCCCAATACCAGAAGCGACTTTCTTTGTTACTTTCTCGATATGGCCACTCCAATCAAGTCTGTCATCGATGGTCACTCCTAGTGATTTTGCAGTAGTGACCTGGCTAACTTCAAAATTATTAATTGCAAATGTCGGGGACTCTGTGAGAGTACTTAGCCTCTGCCTAGATCCGATAAGCATAAATTCGGTTTTAGTCATATTTAGAGTAAGTTTGTTTGCTCTCAGCCAATTGTGAACATTTTCTAAATCTTGATTTAGATGCAACTGAATATTGTCTGCATTATCACCTGCGTACGTAAGGTGGGTGTCATCAGCGTACATCCTCGGCTCACAATTTAAAAGACAGTTTGGAAGGTCGTTGATGTATAACAGAAATAATAATGGACCTAAAATCGTCCCCTGGGGAACACCACAACTTAATAAACAGCTTTGAGAGAGCGATCCGTTGATGGAGCACATTTGAGTACGATTCTCTAAATATGACTTAAACCATTGGTGCGCGTTACCATATATGCCGTAATTGCTTAATTTTGATAAAAGGATCTCATGGTCAACTGTGTCGAAGGCCTTTTTGAGATCTAAGAAAACAACGGCGTTGATTTTACCGCGGTCAATATTGTACGCCCAAGTGTCCGTGGCCTCAAGGAGAGCCGTGACAGTTGAGTGAATAGCGCGAAAGCCTGATTGATATTTACAGATTATATTGTGCTCTTCTAGGTAGGCATATAATTGATCATAGACGATTCTTTCAAAGACCTTGGCCATAACTGAGATCACCGAAATTGGACGATAATTGTTTAAGTCGTCCCGATCGCCTTGTTTAAAAAGTGGGGTGACCTTTGCGCATTTCCAGTCATCCGGAAATATGCCTTGACTTATTGACTGGTTAAAAATATCACGGATAGGAATGCAAATGAGATCTGCACATTCCCGAATGAGCCTAGCAGATATCTTGTCAAGGCCAGCTGCCTTTGACCTATCTAGACGATTCAAAAGTGAGAGAACTTTATTTGTACTGGTTGGATGGAGCTGAAACCGTTTATCTGTGCCAGTGAGGTACTTTTGATAACCATCACTATTTGAGGAATCAATATTGCTAGCAAGTTCTGGACCGATAGTAGCAAAGTGATCATTAAATTGGTTCGACAGCACAGTTGGATTTGTTATTGATACTCCATTTACTTTCAGAGATGTCACCGATTTTTTCCCAGATTTTCGCGAAGTAAGTTCATTGATAGTCTGCCAGGTCTTTTTAGAATCGCCCGTATGCTTGTTAAAACTATTTTGATAATAGGCTTGCTTGGCTAATCTGATTTCGCTATTTACTATATTGCGTTGTTTTTTAAAAAGTGACCAGTCATTTGAATCATTCGATTTACTTGCTTTAATCTTTAGAATATCACGATCATGCATTCGTTTCTTAAGCTCAGATGTAATCCATGGGGAACTACGCGTGCGAACACGCATTGTCCTCAAGGGAGCATGCTTGTTAACAACAAATAGAAACGAGCATTTCCATTGTAGCCACATTTGATTGGGATCAGTTGAATTGTATATGTGATCCCAACAATGAGATGCAATATCATTCCGAAAATTTACTCGATTAAATTTTCGAAAGTTTCTGAAGGTTATAGCATTGTGCCCACCAGACATTCCATTCACGGATAATTTTCGATAGGCAAAAACTATGCTATGATCGCTAATACTGATATGACGAACCCCCGAACACACAACTTTATCTGGACAATTAGTATAGATTACATCAATCAAAGTTGCAGAAGTCGGAGTTATTCTGGTTGGTTCAGTGATAAGTTGCTGTAGACCATAAATATCAGCGATACTCATTAATTTGCATGTATTATTGTCATATCGAGTAGCAATCATGTCGCAGTTAAGGTCTCCCATTAGAAAATATTCAATATTTTCGGAATCGAGTTTCCCAATTAAAGTTTCGAAAGGTGAAAAAATACCAATAGGAGAATCAGGTGGTCTATACCACGTGGCAACAACAAACGGTTTAGATCTAGGTTTTTGAATTTCCAGACATAGATTTTCAAGAGTGTCCATGTTTAAATCATTTCGTATGGTAAAATTTATTGAACTTTTCACATAGAAACACACTCCTCCTCCACCGTTTGTAATTCTATCACGTCGAATTATATCATAGCCAGAGATGTTGACCTCATTGTCGCTAATAGTTTCATTGAGCTTAGTTTCATTAATCGATAAAATATCTATTTCGTTATGCGCTAGAAGAATTCTAAGTTGATCTATGTGTGTGATTAATTTATTGATATTTAAAGAGGCTAATTTAAAACCTCGTTGAGATGGTAACACTGAGGTAGGCTCATGAGATTCCTCAGTATTGCGTTTTGTACATTGAATAGGCACGGCATCGGTGGATAGCGCATCATTTCAACCTAAACTCATCTGAAAGTTCTCAAAAAACTGTTGATTACCTTTAAAATTAAGATGTAGTCCGCCCTTGTTAAGTTCCTTTTCGGAGATGTTTTGATGCTGGATAAATTTCCATCCATTCTGCCGGCAGTAGAACTTCAGTTGTTTATTAACTGTTTTCACGGCTTCATTGAATCCGTCTCTTCTTTGCACGAGCTCAGATATAATTACTGTGGCATCGGATGAGTTTTCAATTTGTCTGGCGAGATCTACCACTGAGCCGGCAACTTGTTGTGGTTCTTTACTTTTGAGATCATTAGTGCCCACATGCAGAATCACTTGGTCCGGTGAAAGCTCCAAATTAGGTTTAAGGTAATCCTTCATAGCTTTGGTGGTGGCACCGGAGAACGATTTAACCACCACCCGATGACCAACGGCTTTTCCTAAACGTGTACCTTGGATATTCTTTATCATAGAGTCTCCAATCAACAAGGTAGTACTTTCGTTTGCTGGCGTGGAATTTTCCGTGTCATCATAGACGTTGGACTGTGCTTCACTGATCTTCTTTCTCCGTGTTTTGTTCTTTTTCTTTTTCGCGTCAACGGTTTGCCATTCGTTTTCAGGATTAGAGCTCTCATTAGACTGGGCATTATCACTCCTTGAGTTTCCTTGAGGGGCAGTTACCTCGTAACTCTGATTCCTCTGTTGTTGACGCTCTCCTACGCTCATTTCCTGCATAATAAGCTTTAATGCTAATTTTAGGGAGTCGTTTTCCTGTTCCGCGGACGATGCGCGGGTCTCAAGAGACATAATTTTCATTTTCAGCGCATTAATTTCTTTATCTTTGTTGCATAATGCTGCCTGTAGCTTTTCACACTTCCCTTTGTGTTTCATAAGTTCTTCGTTGCCAATATTTTCTTGATTTTGTGGATATCTCGATAAGGAACTTGTATTATCATCGACCTGCTTCTTTAATACCGTCAGGCTGTATTTTATGTCTCTCAGCTCAGCAAATAAAGAATTTTCTGATCCCGAGTCCGCTCCATTATCCGTTGTCTGTTGGTTTTCATTTTGGCTTGTGGGTCGATTCGGCGAATCGGTTGTCATCTCCGGCTTGTCCTGAACCAGTTTGAACAATTTTTCTTTTAAAAATGGACCATCTTGTCCTTGGAAAACAAGAGTAAGTTGTTTCTTGAAGTACCAGGTTATAACAAGCTTATCATTGCAACTTTTGAATTGCTTATTATTTCCGCCGGGCGACGTCCACTTTCCTTGCTGCTGAAGACAATTTTCAACAAAATTCTTCAAGGATTCTAAGTCGCTTGTCCATATTAACCGCTCTCCGTTCAGCTGGAGGTATTGCCAATCAGAACCATCAAGTTTAAGCTGGTATAACTCGGTGTCTGGCTCCCCAACGGCTCCGTTGTCGGAGCCAGAAATATCATGACCTTCCGCCATTTTCTCACCAGGTCAGCTGCAGGGGCATTTATTGTGGTAGGTAGCCCACGACATCTTGGGGTGAATTAACATTATTTCGTGTCTTGATCGATGTTAAAACCTTTTCACTCTGAGTACAATAATTTACTTAAAAAGGCAGGAACTGCAAACCTTAAGGACAAGCGTTTACAAAACATGATTCTTACTATTTTTAAATGTCTTCATTTTTCTGATTATCCAAGATATTTAAAAAATATGTTTCGCTTACGCTCTAGCACCTATTTTTTAAGAGGACATAATATGCTTTGTTTACCTAAACCATTGACCACTTCTTATGGTATCAATTCCTTTAGTTACTTGGCAGCAACATTTTGGAGTCTCTTCCTGACCAACACCGCACTATTTCTGATTTTACGTCTTTTCGACGACTGATATCTACTGTGAACAATAATTTACTTAAAAGGGCAGGAACTGCAAACCTTTCTACATCAAGATAATTTGCAAGTTAGTTGTCTAGGTAGTTAGTTATCTTATTTGTTACATAGAATTAACTTTTTATTATAATTATTTATTAATTCGCAAGTTAGTTGTCTAGGTAGTTAGTTATCTTATTTGTTATATAGCATTAACTTTTTATTATAATTATATATTAATGTAGTTGGCTCGAAGATACTTGAGTGCTACACTGTAAATTCGAGGGTAAATGAAGTTTATTGATTGATTGATTGAAAACCTGTCCAACTTGGTGTCTTTTGCCTCTCGCCATTATGACCGATGTCTCGTGCAAGTTACCATATGAAGCTCTTCTTCAAAGCAAGGTCTGCTTCAGCTTTGTGTTGAGCATTTTCCCTTGGTGGTGGTGTTTGCAGTGGCCCCACTCTTTCTCGCGATATATACGTACAAAGGGATGGAACTTCCTGCGAGATGCTTCTTTGCTTTTGCTTTCTGATTGCAGGTAGAGATGGTTTAGGAAGGCAAGGACCATAAACTTTTGGCTGGACTACTATGCCATTTACTCGGTGGCTTGTTCCTCCCCCTGTAAGAGTCTCTTCGAGGCGATCGACATTATCCCATATGCCAAATTAGTGAACAAATTGGGGCGAATTGTGTCGGGAAGGATGGCTGACTCGTTAATTGAAGCTGCCATTTTCTCTAAGCATAGGGCAGTGTCATTTTCTTCTAACTGGAAGTACGACACCCCATGTCCAAGACGGTTTAAAATCTGGATAAGCTCCACATTTCCGGTCAGGGTTTTCACTCCATAGGATAAGAGAACCTGCTCTGGTGGCTTTATCTTGCCATTTGTTACTGCGTAAACAATGTCCTGGCTGAAGGATTTTATCAGCGACTGAACGCGAAAGGTGGGAGGTGGAACTGGATCACCTGTGATTATTCCCTTAAGAAGTCTTGTTAGACATCCAGGAACGTGAAACCGCTCTTCGTTAACATCAAACGGGTGAATAGTACGGTGGCCCAAAAGGCTCAAACACAAATCAATTTCCCAAAACACAAATCAATTTCCCAAAACACAAATCAGTTTCCAAAACACAAGTCAGTTTCCCAAAACACAAATTAATTTCCCAAAACACAAATATGTTTTCCAAAACACAAATTAATTTCCCAAAACACAAATATGTTTTCCAAAACACAAATCAATTTCCCGAAACACAAATCAATTTCCCAAAACACAAATCAATTTCAAAAGACTGGGCACTACATTATTATGAACGAGATGGCCTGGAAAACAGAGTGACGAACTCGGGCCCAGGGTCTTTCGCATCCAATACGGCGACTATCTGAACGGGCTGTATTTTCATTGTTGAGCTATTTTGAAAAAATAGCTCATATGTCAGTGGTGTGAGCGTATGTATCTTTGTGGCTTTGTATCTTTGTAACTTTGTATCTTTGTATCTTTGTATCTTTGTATCTTTGTATCTTTGTATCTTTGTAACTTTGTATGTTCGGATGTTTGTTGCAAGAGCCAATAAGGTTGAAGGTACTATGAGTTGATGCTAAGGAACCAATGAGATCTTGGCATCTACTTCAAAATCACATTGCTAAAGGTCGAACAAGGGCACTTTAAGACCGCCATCTTGATTCTTTACAATTTGTTCGTCTTTTATTACGGCTACAGGTGTTTGGAAACATTATATTAAATATCTTCATGATTCAAACGCTGTGTACAGTGATGCAGCTGTTTAAGGGTTCATATTTTAGTGTGGATGCTACTTCAAGACATTCCTGACCGAATTCGGCTATCGCGAACGGTACCACGCACGTATTTTTGAGTTGTGTTTCACTTGCTTCAAGGTAGAGTATAAACGATCATATATTTTCAAAGCTCTTCCAGTGAAGCAATAATTGATATTTAGATATGGACTTTAATTCAAAAGTATGCGGCCTATAAAATGTGGTTTTAGAAGTTTGAAAAGCAGCTTATTTTTTTTAAAGCTGTACCGAGTATTGTTAATCCTGTAAAAAAGCTGTAGAAATATTATTCTCTCGCTCACAAAGTTCAACAGACCTTTTTCGTTCCGGCAAAACAACAACAAAAAGGAATAATAAGTGAACAACATGATACATCCTTCCTGCATACTAAGCATTATAGTTATTGAAACGTATTTTATTTAGTAAAGATGCGTATAAACTTAAGAAGAAACAGTAGCGTTAGGGAATAAAATTGGAAGAAGCTAGTTGACACAATAATTAGGCACTGCTTTATTGAGTGGAGTAACATGATATGAGCAGAAATATATTTCGGCAGTTTGATAATTTTCTTGGAAGTTAATAATTGTTAGGCTATCAACCTTGACGTTGCATGAAACATAATTTAATTGCAGCTGTTGTAATGAGGCCGAGGTGATTTCTTAAAATCGTTAGAGAAAATTTTGTAGTAAACAATTTGCGTTTTTTTTAAATTACGAATTGTAAAAGGGTCAAAGACCAACATCTTCACGTGCAAATTGTGTGCATGAGTTATTTTTATAATTCTGTTTACTCGATTACTGTGTGATAACTCGAATTCCCTCACGTACGAACCACGAAAGGGGGCAAAGTCCAACACTTTCACGTGCTAGTTGTGTGACTGTACATCTCATGCAGATTGGCTTTTTACAATAGTAATAGTGACTTGAACGTATGAAGAGCTGTTTTGTTTTGTAACCAATGCCTTAAAAAAGGCTCTTGTCTGTTAAGAAGCAATAGCTTTTAAAACATGAAGAAATAAGTTGTCAGAGTTAAACACTGTTTCACTGAGTAGAATCGCACGTGAAAACCTCGTGAATTGTGATGATGCAACCATATACCACAAAGATAAAAATCCTGGTATTTCGTAACTACTCGAATTGGATGAGTTACATTTTGGCTTAAGAAACTCCGAGGAAACCTTAGAGTTTTCCCTCTAATCAACGTTTGGTGAGTAGACATATATTTTACTTTAACAATTTGTTTAAATTGCACCAAATGTAACAGGGAAAGACCGAGGAAAGTAGCATGAGGATCGACGCAGCTGAGCGTTTCGCGTTTTCATTTATTTACGGCAATGCTCAATTTCGCACAAAAACCCAGTCTACAGTTAGGACGAAAAACGTAGATTCATCACTGTTGGTAAGGTTACACTGAAGCATTAAAGTTACACTGAAGCATTCAAAATAGCTCATGCACGTTTAACGTGCCTATGTTTTTAACCAGGTGTTAACGTGAAAAATGTTCTGCCAAAGCTGCGGCCAACAAGTTTTAGATGAATATTTGTACTGCTTTCAGTGTGGAACCAAGCTAGACACTGCTATACCTTCTGTTAGGCTATTATTATCAGCTGAAAACGTGACCGAGAAAGAAGCAATAGAGGCTTACTTTTATAGTGGGTTCAGTAACAGGGTTATTCTACTCTTCCTTGACAAGTACCATGACATGCCTATGTCTATGTCAACATTGAAAAGAAGGTTATGTGAATACAACCTTAAAAGGAAAAAAGTGGATATAAATTTGCCTGCCGTTGAGAAATTAATCCGAGACGAGATGGATGGCCCAGGAGGCATTTGTGGTTACAGAGCAGTTTGGCATATGCTTCGTATAAAGTATGGGCTGTTTGTCCCAAGGTAAGAGGTAGAATCCCTGATCAGAACGATAGACCCAGCTGGAGTGGAAGAGAGGAAGCGCCACAGGCTAAAAAGAAGGAAGTATGAGTCTCCTGGACCAAATTATTGTTGGCATGTTGATGGTTATGATAAACTGAAACCTTTCGGATTTCCCATCCATGGGGCTGTTGATGGCTATAGTCGAATGGTAAGGTGGCTTAAGGTAGATAGAACCAATAATGATCCAGAAATAACGGTTTTTTTTTAAAGTTTTTTTTAGATTGCGTTGTGGAGGTCGGTGGATGTCCTTCATTACTCCGAACAGACTGCGGAACAGAGAATGTAGTAATTGCAGGTACACAGTGTTTTTTAAGAGCTGACTGTGATGATGAGTTAGCTGGTGAAAAATCACACCGTTATGGTCCTTCTACTGGAAATCAAAGAATAGAGGCCTGGTGGGCCCATCTTCGCCGTAGTCGTCTAACATGGTGGATCAACTTTTTTAAAGACCTTGTGGATCGTGGGATATTTCTGACTGGTAATGTGCTCCATGGGGAGTGCATATGGTTTTGCTTTGCAGAATTAATCCAGCATGATCTAGACTTTGTGAAGTTTCACTGGAATACACACTACATTCGGCGTTCAAGGCATGAAACAGTTCCTGGGAAACCAGAGGAACTCTATTATCTTCCAGAAAACTTTGGAGCTTCAAACCACTTACACCCAGTGTCCCCTGAAAAGCTAGATGAAGCAAGGCTGAAATGTAAAGCAACAGATTTTAACAACGATTTTCAGGAGTACTCTATTAATCATGTTTTGTCCCTTCTTAATGTTTCAAAGCCCTCTAACTGGAAGGAAGCTTTGAGCCTGTTTTCTTATTTAATAAGAGTTGCAGTGTAGGAGCTATTCGATTCTGGTCCACAGTTGACAGAGACCAGTGATCTTATAACAGTTAATGAAAAAGTGAAGGACAAGTAGCATATTAAGCTCTCAGTATCACTATAAACCGTTGTTATAAATTTGTAATTCATTCGTCTCCATGAATTCTGTATGCTGCAGATTGCTTACAGCATTTTGATGAATAGAGTTTTCTCTTTAATAAAACCAGTTTTACTTGAAAATGTCAAATGAAGAGAATGATTCTTAAAATTTTCAAGGAGGAAATAAAAAACAACCAAACTAACTCCTGGACTTCTACATTATTCAATACACTTCAGCCCTGATAAACTCGTATTGTCAACACTTTATTTGTAATGACATCTGGTATTATAATTGTCATCAATAACAACAACATGCATTCAAAACATTTTTCAAAGAGAATTGTCAAGCAATAACCAACAATTGGAGCAACTGCAGCAAAGATAAAAAATGACTCTGTAATGGTCAGAGTCCTAAACAAAATACATGTACATTATTCCACTCATCATGAATGCAAAAGGAAAATATGATTCTCCAATTATCACAAAATGTTTCTTGATTAACCTGATAAAAATGTTGTCACAACCATGGAATGCAAAAACCATCCAATACAAAATAATATTGGAACATTGTTATCTATAACAGATCAAATAACCAGAACATTATTTAACAATATAGTCAGTTGACAAGTGAAAATAGTGCATGTCTGATCTGTACTGGTACTCCAAATGAACTAAACCACAACTGTTCTCTCCTGGCATGAGCTTTTTGCAGGTTCACAATGCCATCTTAAAATTGACTTTTTCAAAGACACTGACACAACAGTAAGAACTAGTATATGTATAACTTCACCTACACAAGAAGTCTGACTCAGACATACATTGTATTTATTTACTGTGTCACTTCACAACACCATAGACAAGAGACCAAACAACTATGGTGCAGTAGGATAGATACAGTGAGTTTCATTTGCCATTTTAGCAGATACTAGGCAAATTTTACATACATTTGTACTGTTTAAAGATTTCTATGACCAGTTTGTAGAATGTCATTTGTGCATATTGTCTGCTAAGACACCAAATAAAATTCAATTTGATTGACACATGTCCAAATAACTCTTGCCAAATGGATATACACAGTACAATTCCAAAGTCATATTTTTATGACATTGCCAACTGTGCTCTTCAGTCCCAGTCTCAAATGCACAAGAATACTAACCTAACAAAGCATAACAAGTAGAACAGCATTTGCAAACAGGAACACAACTCAGAAGCCAAGGGTTGTCTAACAAACACTGGCATCTTAATGATACATTTGACCGTCTCTTACATCTATAAAAATGATTTGCTCCAAAAACCTTTCCCATTCATAGTTCCATTGAAAGTGAAACTTAACTCTTCTGCAAAATAGGCAGCATGGACTTTTCCAAAACAGACAGAAATACTATGCTTGGGTACATGTATGCATGCTCTTAAAGTCATGAAGCTTATTAATGATGTTTGTTAAAATTTAACATTATATAATCGGGTTCATCCAGACCTACAAATACAAAAAGTCAACTGCTACTTGATTCACACTTTACCAAAACCAGGTGAACTGAAGATGCACTCTGTGAACTCACTTTTAAAAAGACTCATAACTGGCAAGCAAATCACAAACTGAAATGTTAAGGGTACAGGAACAGGTGTTTGCTGAAAGTTTCCTCTGGATCTCTTCATGGTCAAAAACAATAGTTAGATTTGTGTCAAATCCAGTGGCAGGTAAGGCAGGGCATCCAGTAACAAACTGAAGAACATGTGCAAGTTCAACTTTACTGGTGTGAATTTCATCTGTCTCAGGATCTAGGACTGTGGTGGTAATCAAACCTTCTTCAACATCCTCAAGGTAATGTGTAAAGTTAAAGGCTATAGCTTCCTCCTTAGCACGTCTGTTACTTCCTTCCACGCTAAAGACACACTGAAACTGATTATCAACAACCTCAGCAGTCAGCTTCTCATGTTCATAATATTGTAAGAGCTTGCGGGATTGGTTAGGACTGTTTCTGATCACATCCAAGACTCCATTTGTTGCCAACCCTTTGACAAACTGGTCAATTTCAGTCTGTGTACATAAAATGAGATGGTGTAAGCAGATGCACCTGATAAATTCATCTTTGTCTTCCAAAGTTACAATAGGCTTTGTGTATCCTGCTTTGAATCTTAGTGGTGTGTTAAAGGATGCTTCTTGCTTAAATCTCTCACGATCACCGATTGCTTCAAGCTCCTCTACTGTTGTCTTCACTTTTCCACTGGGCAGGTCACTGACTGACACTGAGACTGAATCTAGTTTGCCATACACGATGTAGTCTACAACAGGGGCAGCAAACATTACAGGACCAGGTGAACCTTGAAGCATTAAAAGAGCTGAAATAATGCCATAATGAAGATATTCCTCCCTCTGAAGAGCCATTACATTGTGAACAAACCTACGGTTACTAGGAAGTCCTGTGAACAGACTTGATGACTGTTGCATGTGTTTGTGAACCAGCAAAAAAAACTCTTTGAGATGTCCTCCCTCGTCTACTGCAGGTTCTCCAATAAATTGGACTGTTACAATACCATTCAAGCAATCATGGTTTATCCTTTTGATTTTTGCCAGAGTATCCTCCCACAGGCAACTTCTTCTTACTTTTGGCCTTATCTTTTTTCCTGAGTTGCTACATTTCTGGAATAGCTCTTTCAATTTCTCACATAAACTCTGCTGGTCCTCAATTTCATGCTCTCCACTTTCACCAGTTTTAGAAAATTCAGACTCCTCCCCACCAAAGATAATGTCATTTTCAGAATCATAGAGGTCATTACTAAACTCTACGTCAATGACAGAAGCATATGATCGAAGCGAGTCATGCAGTCCTCCATTTGCATTCTCGCAGAGTGTGGCAATAGCTGTTTCAATGTCTTGGCTGCTGCTGAAAACATCAAATATCTTCTTTTCAGGGAGCTGTGGAAAGATTTCTTTGAGTGTTTCAAATCCAGAACTGTTACATGCTGTAGTAGTACATGAACCAGAAGATGAACTACCAAGAAGAGAGGTGGGTATATCACTTGTTGTGAAAGGATCAGATAGGCTAGTTGCAATATAAGAACCAGGTTTAACAGAAACAGAGTTTGCATCTGATCCTTTAACAGTGGTGGTTGTCTTAGCAAAGCCAGTGTCAGTGTACTTGGTTATTTTTGTTTGTGTTGGTTCACTTAGGTCTTCAGAATCCTTGTCACTGTCATTCTTGTCGTCTCCATCATCAGAAATTGTGTCAGCAAAACCTTTGAAACTATGATCATAGTAATCTGATGAAGAACAAATATAAAATGTTATCCTGTTGTACGGTTTACCCAGTTCAGCTTTATATTCTTGTCAGCTGAATGCTTGGTCGGATTCTCTAAGTTTATTTACTTCTATCCCGTCTGGGTACAGCAATTTGTAGGCCAAAGGAGAGCTATGAGTAATTTCATTAGCATTATGCTTCGAGTGCTTTGCTACTGCTAACTTTAATAGCTCCTCCCCATCCGCTGTTCTACCAATTCTTACAGGAAGAGATTTGCCTCGTTGGGGCTTGAGCATATTTTCCTCTTCAATATATCGCATGATGCCAATGTTGACGGTTACAGGTGGGTCTTCTTTCTCAGTCATCCTCTTAGTCTTCTTGCTCTTTTTTTTGAAGTGCGACTTTCTCTCTTCTTTTTTATTGTTCATAAAGGTGTCTAAAGTAGGAACAGGCTTAGAATAAATTAAGGTTAAATCAGATGTGGCAATTCCAGATGTAGCACACTCAGCTCTCCCTTTCCTACTACTGGTCGAATCGGACGTGGAAGAATGAGTTTCAGTGTTATTGGACGTAGAATTTCCACACTTTACGCAAAATTTGAAAGTATCCTTCACAACACTGCCGCAATGACCGCAAAACATCTTAATAGGACTAAAAGGACACAAAGTTGCACGAGTGACATGTAGTCGCCATATTGGACGCGAAAGACCCTGGACCCGAGTTCGTCACTCTTCTTTCCAGGCCATCTCGTTCATAATAATGTAGTGCCCAGTCTTTTGAAATTGATTTGTGTTTTGCGAAATTGATTTGTGTTTCGGGAAATTGATTTGTGTTTTGGAAAACATATTTGTGTTTTGGGAAATTGATTTGTGTTTTGGGAAATTGATTTGTGTTTGAGCCTTTTGGGCCACCGTAGAATAGGCTACTGAGAACTCCATTTACTCTTTAACAGTTCTCCTCTTATGTGTGTGAAACACTTATCTACTATTTTATATGCATCCTGTTCCGTTCAGATAGTCGCCATATTGGATGCGAAAGACCCTGGGCCCGAGTTCGTCACTCTGCTTTCCAGGCCATCTCGTTCGTAATAATGTAGTGCCCAGTCTTTTGAAATTGATTTGTGTTTTGGGAAATTGATTTGTGTTTCGGGAAATTGATTTGTGTTTTGGAAAACATATTTGTGTTTTGGGAAATTAATTTGTGTTTTGGAAAACATATTTGTGTTTTGGGAAATTAATTTGTGTTTTGGGAAACTGACTTGTGTTTTTGGAAACTGATTTGTGTTTTGGGAAATTGATTTGTGTTTTGGGAAATTGATTTGTGTTTTGGGAAATTAATTTGTGTTTTGGGAAACTGACTTGTGTTTTTGGAAACTGATTTGTGTTTTGGGAAATTGATTTGTGTTTTGGGAAATTGATTTGTGTTTGAGCCTTTTGGGCCACCGTAGAATAGGCTACTGAGAACTCCATTTACTCTTTAACAGTTCTCCTCTTATGTGTGTGAAACACTTATCTACTATTTTATATGCATCCTGTGTGTTGACGAAGTATATCCACTTCCAAACGAACAAAGTCAACCAAGAGGCATAATTTTTGGGGGTAACTAGCTTATCCCTTTTTATGGCCTCGTAGTGAATGGCACAACTGTGTTCTCTTTCTTTATCCATGCGGTCATCATTAAAATCTTTCTAAGGAAACAAGACATAACAGTGATTGTTTTCCACATGTTTTTCTCTAAGCAGTGAAAAGATTCAGGGGAATAACAGTAAAAGAAGCAAGAACTTTAAAAATTTAGTTCCAGTTTACTCGCTGTTCAAGACATTTCAGTTTTCTAAAGCTCCCTCTTCCCCTAAGTCGTTCGTTACTCGCTGGTTATTTGAATAGTGGTCCATATCAGTTTGCAATTCTCTTTATTTTTATTTTCACTGCGGTAGTATTGATTTCTTGCATTGGTTCCTTTATAATTTTTTCGTCAGTGGGCGCCGATAATTAAGATCCGTTCATCGTTGCTACGAACCTTAACTATGTTTCATGAGGAAACCTACATCGCAATGTGGTTTAATTTAAGAGAAGGATCCTCGATTAAGAAGATAATAAAAAAGCAATATCTAATGAAAATTGCATGGACAAACCGGTGTCGAAGGCAATCTAAAAATCTGAATCAAAGTTTAGAGTGGTCCCACGTTTTATACAACCAGACGTTTTACGGACATTAAGCTTAGAATTATGATTATGAAACTGCTATTGAAGGAACAGTCAGATTTGCGCATAGAAAAAACGGTTATAATTATTTAGAGAAAGTCAGAAAAGGTTAAAACTATTTACAAATCAGGTACAGTATTAAAAGCAAAGAGCTTTTATGTTGTTTCATGCCAAGATAGTGGTCAAAATAAATCCACCAAAGTTGAAAGGATTATTACAGTCGATGTCCGCCATTTTGAAACTTACAAGCATTTTAGTATTGTATTGTATTGAGCATTTTCCCGCATCTTATTTTCTATTTATTTGCTCTCAAAGTGTTTTTTTTCCAATTTTGACGAGTTATTTAAAATATCAATAGTAAAACCTTGCGATAAAAACGCTACCTTACCTGCAAGAGGCATGTTCACTCGTATTAAAAGCAAAATCTCTGCAACTGGTCAGCGGTAATTACATAAAAACAGGTAGATAAATGGTGTAACCATCATATAGTGGTTTTACGTTATCTCACCGAGAAGCATGAAAATTTTGCGGGTTCAAATTTTTGCGAATTTTGCGGATTGACCTCGATCCGCAAAAATTAGTTCCCGCAGAAAAAAAAACCCGCAAAATAAAACGCTGCAAAAATTAACTTCCTTCAGTCAAGTTAAAAACTCTGCTTTTAATGGACTTGTTGTGTATGTTAGGGATAGGCTTTTGTTTTGTTTTGCTGTTGTTCAGTCCCTTTGTGCAGTAAGATATTAGAGTAATTACCATATTATTCTCCATTAAATATGTAAGTAGAGTGAACTTTGACTCAACATACCGTAAAATAAAAGTTGAAAATACCATATTAAGGTTTCTTCCACTTAAATATTCTGCTACTTGAACAGAGAATCACAAAAATTAGTTCCCACCAGAAATTTCAGTCATATCGAACCGCAAAAATTTGTTCCCGCAAACAAAAAAAAAATCGCCAATCCGCAAAATAAAACTCCCGCAAAATTTTCATGCTACACGGTATATCTATCTGGATGATTCACAATGATTTTTGCCAGAATCAACTTTTGAAAAATATATCAATTACGTGCGACGAAGAATACAGCTAAGCATATTGTGTACTATAACCATTGTCAAGACCCGCCGGTTTCCTGCCGCACAAGTGGGTAAAAGCTGTGATTTTGCGATTGCTATCACTTATTACCATAAAATAGGGGTCAATTCCTTTTTAAATTTGTAGGAGAGCCTTTGTCCCCCCGAGTGGTACCAGCGACCCTACCTGGCTCATGCACTACTAGTGCGGATCGGCCCTTAAGGTGTCTCGACCCAGTTTTTTTTGGGGGGGGTACCATCCTACTTTGAAGCTCTCTGGTATCCCCACCTTTACTTTTATCGTAAGTCTAACACATAGAATGGATAACATATAGATCAATCTACAATATAACATAAAATTTTTGCCGATCGGAGTAAATGTCACGTGGTTATGATGCCACGCCCCTTTGAGGTCTGAGTCGAAAATCTGCTGTTGCCGGCATTTTTTCGTGAAACTCTCTCGGCTACACATAGTGCGCATTAATGCCTTGCACTGAACAGAGTTTCACCAAAATCGCAAAGACCCAATTCGAGAAATTCAGCGGTTTCCAAATTTAGGTCATAATTTACGCGAAAATGATAAGCAAACTTTACACGATTATATCCAATAAACTATGAGATTCATCCCTTTATTTTGGGCATTGTTATAACAGATGGGTCCTTGCAAGTCAGCAAAACGCTTTAGGGCCTTGTAAATGCGCGCGATTTCGAGCAAAGCAAACATATAGAAATGATAGTTTTCGCTATTTGTTGACGTTTGTCAGCGTTTAAGAGTCCTTCTCACGAAAAAAGCATTTTCTTAAAAATTCGTAGTTTTTTTTCCTTCAAATTTTTTCAGGGCCACAATTGATTAACTAACTATCCGGACTCTGAATTTCATGGTCATTGAAAAACTGTGACATTATCTTCTATAAGCCCAAACTTGAGTAAAACATTGAAGATTTTTCGTGTTTTGGCTGAGATTGTGCTTTAGGAGTTGTCTATTGTTTCTAGTCTGTCATTATACAGCATTCTTGTTCAGCACGCGTGCAATGACCGCGCTTGGCTGACTTCCGAATGCTCACCGAGATATGATAATTTTGGTACAGTGAGACAGGCCATCGCGTGATACATAGAGGTTTAACTCACAATTTTTAATCAATTCTCGTGCTTCTTGTGCCTTTGCAAAAAAATCAAGAAGTGCTACACACTAAATCTACTTACTATTAAAAAAAATATCATTTTTTCATAAGTTTAATAATGCAAGCCAATAATTAAACCAACTCGTGACGGGAATCTTTTCCACTTTCTCATACTATATTATCATGTCTCGGTGAGTATTCGGAAGTCAGCCAAGCGCGGTCATTGCACGCGTGCTGAACAAGAATGCTGTATAATGACAGACTAGAAACAATAGACAACTCCCAGAGCACAAACTCAGCCAAAACGCTAAAAATCTTCAATGTTTACTCAAGCTTGGGCTTATAGAAGACAAGACGCTACAGAGCGTACACTTCGGCGTCGTGGTTGTGGAACTAATTACTTGTAAATGCGGAGGAATAGTAAGAAATCAAATATGGTAAGAGTAAGTCAGGATATTCTGGAAAGAGCAACATCCAAGAGGCCTACTTGCCAAAAACTAGCATTTCGGGACAAATTGTCTCCGAGATATTAGCCCAGTTATGCTCTGATGACTCCATACAAATCCTTCTAAAAAAACAATTCTCTATTTTTCTTAGTCACATCAGGCTTCAAAAACAGCATAGCAGTCTCATGTACTGATTAAAGATATGTAAGGCATGGGTAAGGAGTCAATTACGATGAGCATGGAATTGGCTAAAACTCAAAGTCACGAGTTCGAATGTTTTGAGGATAATTATTCACTGACTATCAGCACGCAGGGATGTCGGATTAACACAAGGAAGTTTAACACCAAAGGAACATAGCCTTTACAGAGCTTTAAAACACAGCATCCACCAACACAAACTTGACTTGAACTTTGAGTAAAACTAAACAGCCTCTACCAATAATAACAAACTCTCACTTGAACTTCAGATATCTTACGGCTTCCGTGAACTTGTAAACACAATACCTGAAAATCGACCTTCGTCTCACTTGACTAAACTCAGCAGTCCAGCCAGTGGGAAAAAACTTAGTTCTTCAAAAGAACTCGCTTAGAACTTGTATACCGTTTGACATAAGGTTCTAGCAAATACTAAACAGCAGGCGAATAGTAGTAGCTTTTCGACATATTTTATGATTTCAGTAACTGATACAAATCTGCTGACTCATGCTGAAATGTAAACATGCCCTAATTAATTATTCGTGGTTAATCCAAAAACGTAGAGAACGTTCGAGAAAGTCACGCAACGCATGAAAGCAATTTTACTACGTAACACTCAACAAGACAAAATGTCTTTTTGCAGCATTTTGTAACTTTAAATTCATCATAAAACAGTTCGAAAGGAGGGCTCACTCGTGAAATGTTTTTCAACACTCGAAGAGAAATTTCGTGTCTCTGCGCGGCCACGAAATATCCTCTATTTATTCCTCGAGTAATTAAAGACTAAACTCGAAGTGATCTCAAGATATCACGAAGTAGTCCGGTCTCATTTCGTGAAAGCCGAAAAGTCACGAACTTGCACGCCCAATCTTGTCCCGAAACTAGTGCATGATTTCATAACTATTTTTCATATCCCAAACTACCTTGGGTCGCAGTAGCGCAACCGGCTAATCCCTCAACTTAGAGTCTCCTCTGATCTGACGGGTCACATAGGTGAGTCGGTTCAAACCCCGGGAAAGCCAAAATAATAATTCTTTCTTCCTCGAAAAAGTTAAAGAATAAATCAAAGAAATCGAAGTGATCTCGAGATATCTCGAATTAATTCGGCTCTCACTTCGTCAAATAGCCGAATAAAACCGAAAACCTGCAGACTTTGCATGCTCAATCTTGTCAAAAAATTGTAACTTTGATACATTCCTGAGCGTCGCGAAACCTTTACTTCGCGCTCCGCCGAAGTAATAATGTCACAGTTTTTCAATGATCATGAAATTCAGCGTCCGGGTAGTTAGTTAATCAATTGTGGCCCTGAAAAAATTTGAAGGAAAAAAAACTACGAATTTTTAAGAAAATGCTTTTTTCGTGAGAAGGACTCTTAAACGCTGACAAACGTCAACAAATAGCGAAAACTATCATTTCTATATGTTTACTTTGCTCGAAATCGCGCGCATTTACAAGGCCCTAAAGAGTTTTGCTGACTTGCAAGGACCCATCTGTTATAACGATGTCCAAAATAAAGGGATGAATTCCATAGTTTATTGGATATAATCGTGTAAAGTTTGCTTATCATTTTCGCGTAAATTATGACCTAAATTTGGAAACCGCTGAATTTCTCGAATTGGGTCTTTGCGATTTTGGTGAAACTCTGTTCAGCGCAAAGCACTAATGCGCACTATGTGTAGCCGAGAGAGTTTCACGAAAAGATGCCGGTAACAGCAGATTTTCGACTCAGACCTCAAACGGGCGTGGCATTATATCCACGTGACATTTACTCCGATCGCCAAAAATTTTATGTTATATTGTAGATTGATCTATATGTTATCCATTCTATGTGTTAGACTTACGATAAAATTAAAAGTGGGGATACCAGAGAGCTTCAAAGTAGGATGGTATCCCCCAAAAAAACTGGATCGAGTCACCTTAAGTCCTTGATAAAGGAAAACAAGAGCAATAAAAAAAAATAAAAAAAAAAAGCTCTTTTCTCAAGTTACATTCATCATATCAGCAAAGTGAAGGCAACATCGACCTGAAGGAGGTCGGCACCTTAAGACGCTTACGCAATTTAGCATATAAGCTTAGAGTGAAGTTTAGCACGACTATAGCATTTGCAAACTAGATGTCCGACATCTACAGATTAAAAGTACGAAATTTGTAATGCAACCAAGTTGCAGAAGGTAAGTCTTCTTACAGACAGCCGACCCTGGAGGAGGGGCATAGGCGACCACTTAGTATTTGGGCATAGTTGAGCTTTTTTTATTGTTAAATTGTTACTGTTAAATTGTTACCATACAATTTTTGGTAAGTATCCTTCAAACACATTTTCAAGTTTGTCTGCTAATGCGTATAAGCCACCTCTCTCGTAAGCGACCACCCTTGGTGCACGATTAAGTGGTCGCTTTCGGGAGGTAGTCGTCAGGTGGAAAAATCAAGAAATACATTCTGTAAGCTGAAACTGATCTAATAAACGTCATCACATATGGTTATCCCCCTTTAAGCTAAAATTAGCGAAATATTTATTTTTTTTCCGGGACCTTTTTTCATTTTGTTCACAATTTTTTTCTTGCCACCTCCCCATCGATCCCCGCGACCCAAAAAAATTAGCCATACAGTCTGTCACCACAACATTTGTCAAGTTTACCACCCACCTCTTTCACCTCTGTCTCTGCTGTCGTGTCTGTCGCCTGTGTAGCCTTATCCTTAGCACTTGCCATCTCCTGTTAATAAAACGCCACAAGTAAAACTTTAGAGAAACTAAAAGTTTAAACCTCGAATTCAGCTGTTCCTTAAAATTGTGCTATATGCTTTTCAAGTTTTAAGAATACGCTGTATAATAACAAATGCGGATGGTTTGTTGCGATTTTACAAATTTTGTCCTAGACGGAACAATCTTCAAAGGCACCGCGAACAAAATTTGTCTCGGGTTAAAAAACTGGACAGACTCGCTTAAATAAAAAAAAATGTGTTTTTCTTGTCACACATTTGTTGTAACGCCATATATTCTTTCCATAACTAATAAAAGATGTGACGGACTAATAACGGTAAAATTTATAGCGTCTGCGTGGGTAAATTTATAAATATATATATTAAAAAAGGCACCATCCAATTTTTGGTGAGGTTCTGTCAAACACATTTCCAAGTTTGTCTGCTAGTGCGTGTAGCCCAACTCTCTCGTATCGACCACCCTTGGTGCACGATTTTAATCGATTAATATATTTTACTGTATTTCTATCAATGAATTTTTTAATCGATTTTAATGTATCAAAATACATCTGAAAGATTAAACTGAACCCATTAACGTCATTACATAAAGTTATCCCCCTTTAAGCTAAAATTAGGGAAATAGACAACTATTTTTATTTATTTATTAACGTTTTATTATTTTTTTTCAGGAACCTTTTTTTTCATTTTGTTCCCAATTTTTTCTTGACACTTCTTCCTCGATCCTCGCGACCCCAAAAAATCAGCCATACAGTCTGTCAACTTTACCACCCACCTCTTTCACCCCTGTCTCTGCTGTCGTGTCTGTCGCCTGTATAGCCTTATCCTTAGCACTTGCCATCTCCTGTTAATAAAACGCCACATGTAAAAATTTAGAGAAACTGAGCAAAACTGGGGACTACTCGTAGTCTAATTTTTGGTGAGGTTCTGTCAAACACATTTTCAAGCTTGTCTGCTAGTGCGTACAGGCCAAGTCTCTCGTAAGCAACCTCCCTTGGTGTACGATTACGTGGTCGCTTTTGGGAGGTAGTCGTCCACGGGAAAAATCAAAAAATATATTCTCTAAGCTCAAACTGAACTCACAAACGTCATTACATAAAGTTATCGCCCTTCAAGCTAAAATCAGGAAAAAAGACAACTATTTTTATGTATTTACCAACTTTTTATTTTTTTCTGGGCCTTTTCTATTTATTTTGTTCACATTTTTTCTTGCCACCTCCCCCTCGATCCCCGCGACCCCAAAAAATTAGCCATACGGTCTGTCACCATGACATTTGTCAACTATACCGCCTCTCTAACCTGTGCCACCTCTTACACCTGTGTCTCTGCTGTCGTGAAATTTGGCATTTTCACGTTGTAGTCGTGCAACGACGGCAAAGAAATGTACAAAAAAGCGTGATGCACGTGCAAAGTTGTTGTTTTGCCAATCTAAACCTATTGGTTTATTGCCGTTCTCGTTGCCGTCGCCATCGTCGTTGCTTAAGCTCCCTAATATCCGGCGGAAGGGCCACCAAATCGTACTAGAAGATTTCAAGCAAAGGGTGACCGCCCAGGCAGCAAAATTGAGGAGTAGTGAGGAGAACTACACAGTTATGGCACAAAACAAATTGTTTGAATGCAATCAAAAAGCACTGTTAGGAGCTAGAAGGAATTGAAAGAACCAGTGATATGATACCAGATGCAGAAGAGTGAAGAAATTTCTGGGATGGAATTTGACAAAAAGATGTGAAGCACAATGCAGAGGCCGAACTGTTGCAAGATCTAAAGAATGAGCTGGATGACCTGGAAAAGAAAGGCGAGGGGAAGATTTCTGCACCGATGATCAAAAAACGGCTAAGGAAAATGCCTCATTGGAAATCCCCGGGTCCAGATTGTATGCAGGGCTACTGGTTGAAAAAGTTTACAGCGTTAGATGAGAGAATTTCAACTCAATTAAATGAGTGCCCATTTTCGAGATCAGTACCAGAATGGTTAACCTGAAAGGGAAGAACTGTATTGGTAGTAAAGGACAAAGGAAAAGGTGGTGACGTGGCAAACGTCAGACCTATTACATGCCTGCCACTAATGTGGAAGCTATTTACAGGAGTGTTGGCAGACACAACTTAAATGAACATCTTGAAAGAAAGAGTTTATTGCCAGAGGAACAGAAAGAATGTAGAAGAAACTTGCGAGGCACAAAAGACCAGCTGCTAATAGACAGGATGATACTTAAAAATTGCAGAAGACGCAAAACTGGCCTTGGAATGGTGTGGCTGGACTATAAAAAGGCATATGATCTCATACCTCACTCGTGGATTATTGAATGCATGAACATGTTTGGTGTTGCAGAAAACGTGACGGGTGTGATCCAAACCAGTATGAAACAATGAAACACGGAACTGACGGCTGGTAACCAATTTATTGGGCCGGAAGTGTGTATTAAGAGAGGAATCTTTCAGGGGGATAGCCTTTCTCCATTACTGTTTGTATTGGCACTGATGCCACTAACACTGGTGTTGAGGAAAGTAAAAGCAGGATATAATCTTGGGAATGGATTACCTACAATAAATCATCTTCTGTTCATGGATGATTTAAAGCTCTACGGAAAAGCAAAAACCAGGTTGATACATTGCTACAGTCTGTCCAAGTAGTCAGTGAAGACATCAAAATGGAATTTGGTATAGAAGAATGTGCGGTCCTGTTCATGAAGATGCGGAAACTGGTCGAGTCAGAGGGTATTGTAATCTCGGGTGAAAGACTGATTCGAGCAATGAATGATGGTGATGTGGATGCTTATAAATAGCTAAGGATGCTTGAAGAAGATGAAATCAAACACACCGAGATGAAAAGAAGAATTGAGAAGGAATACTTCCGTCGTGTACGTCGGCAGGAATAGTGGAGTGGACGAAAGAAAAGCTACAGATTGTGGATAGAAAAACGCGCAAATTGATCAAATTGACGACTCTACATAATCATGCTTTGCATCCGCAGGCTGATGTTGACAGGATTTACTTTAAAAGATCAGAGGGTAGTACAGGATTAATGAGTGTTGAGGACTCTGTAAACAGTGAGATCAATAATCTTAGCCATTATGTTGAGAGTTGTAACGGCCCCCTGTTGGAGGTGGTGTACAAGGAAAAAATTCTGAGATGTTATGCTAAAACTTGTGAAGCCGTATCGTTACAGCAAGAAAGAAAAAATCAGAGTGTTCCGAGAGAAACAACTTCATGGGTAGTTTCGAAGGAGCACAGCAGAAGTAAGAGATAAAAAGACATCGGAGTGGCTGATTAAAGGCAGACTGAAGAAGGAGACGGACGGTAAGATTATGGCAGCACAAGACCAAGCATTAAGAACTATGAGTATCAAGAGGATAATCGACAAGCAAGATGTGTCTGCAAAGTGTAGAATGTGTGGAGAAGGCGATGAGACAGTTAGCCATATATTGTATCGGAATGCAGGAAACTTGCTTAAAAGCAATATCGATGTTGGAGGCAAGACAAGGTAGCGCAGGTGATTCATTGGAACCTATGTGGAAAGCTGGGTTTTGAAAGGGATGAAAATTATTGCAGTCATGAGCCGAAACCAGTGTATGAATCCACTAATAACAAGCTGCTGTGGGACTTCAAAATTCAGACTGACAACAAAATTGAACACGACAAGCCTGGCATTGAGGTATTGGATAAGATGGAAAGGGAAATGTCTGATTATCGATGTTGCTTGTCCGTTTGGCATCCGAGTGAAAGACAAATGGAAAGAGAAAATTGAGAACTACCAAGACCTGAGGCGGGAGTTAAAACGGATCTGGAAATTGCGCAGAGTAACTGTGTTGCCAATCATAATTGGTGCATTAGAAACTATCTCGAAAGATATAGAAAAGTGGTTAGCGGAGACTGGTGTCACATGTCGTTACTTTGGAATCATTGAGTAGAGCGTGCTTACTGGGTACAGCCAGAATCCTTTGTAAAGTTCTGGGCCCAGTTGTTCTTAGGCCGATTAGCGCGTAACCCGGGCTTAAATTTAACCCGGGTTTCTCTTTCTTGTGTTCAAAAGCATTTTCTCAGATAATTCTCTCTGTTATTTTTAGAGCTAGCTTCCAATCATCAACTTGTAGACAAAAAGAATTAAAACTGAAATGCTTTTAAGCTTTCAAATCTGAATTCAAATCTCGCACTAACCCTGGATTAACTTAACCCAGCTTTGAACAACTCGGCCCTGGACACCTATGTATTACAAGCAAATGTTTGAACAAGTACGTCGTAATTGCTCCTTTGAAAAGATCGTAACCTCTAATTGCTCTTATTCCAAAGGGTAATGTATTCCATAATCAGGGCGCTGCTACTTCGAATGATTTATCTCTAAGAGTTTTCTTGGTCCTAACCAATGGTGGCTCTAACAACAGTTCCTTGCTCGAACGCAGGTTGTATCGTGTCTGTTCCTTAATCTTGATTAAGTTACAAATATAGGACGGTGCAACACCATAAATTGCCCTAAAATTTAGGATCAATATTTTATACTCAATTCTACAACAAACTGGAAGCCAATATAGACGAATAAAGGTAGGTGTTATGTGGTCAAATTTTAGTGTTCGACAGACTAATCGGGCCGCACAACTCTGTATGCGCTGAATCTTAGCAATGTGTTTTGCAGGAGTATTGAAGAGCAAACTATTGCAATAGTCTGCGCGACCCATAACGATGGCATAGACAAGCAACAGCCGGTCGCGCCTGTAAGATACTTTCTAATACGTCTTATGTTGTACAGATGGAAAGAGACGGCTTTATACAGCTTATTTCTACGAGTGACCATGGTCATGTTTTCTTCGAACCAGGGGCCCGTTTCTCGAAAGTCCCGATACCTTTTTGTACCCGCAAAGCTGTTTTGTGTTTGTCTTGCTTGCATTCAAGGTTAAAGTTCCAATAATTTTAAAGAATGATACAATGAAACTATCAAATTGAGTGGTTTGTAAGCTAGGAACTGTGCAGTATTTCAAAAGGATTTGACTTTAAAATTTATTAGCGTCACCTACACAACGGCTAGGAAAGATCACTTTCGCCAACTGCTGCCTAGTGCCTACTATAATGAATTCCGTCTGATTATCGTTCAAACAGAGTTTGTCCTTGATCATCCAACATCTAACTGCATCCACACAAAGCCCCATGGAATTAACTGCATCGATCGGTGAGGATGTCGAGTCAGCCATAAAGAAAGATACAGTTGGGTGTCATCCGCACATGCGTGGGCTTGGGAGAGGTACTCTTAATGACCTCAAATAATTTACTCGCATAGCTCATAAATAGTTAAGGACCTAAGCACGATCCTTGAGGGACACCCCAAGCTAACAGAAAGTTCTCTGAAAGATTCTGGTCGAAAGAAACGCGTTGAGACTTATTAGAGAGATGAGACGCAAATGAAAGAAAAATGCAGTATATTTTGATCATAGATTTATAAATGCAAATTCGCATCGTTTCTACTCAGCTTTGTTATATTTTGATGCAAAAAGAATGGCATTTTAACTTTAAAAAATGAGATGTTAAAACACGCTGACTTTGCCTCAGAATGGCGGAAATCGCGTTTCCGAGGACTTGAAATTTTAAAATTTTCCGGAGGAGGATTCCCCCGGACCACCCTACAGGGGGGCCGCCTTCGGCGCCCCCTTTGTTCGAACCCCCTATGCTGAAAACCTAGATCCGCGCCACTGTCGCATAACGGCGTTGCTGTACGAGCTAGAGTCTCATCCTTAGCACTTGCCATCTCCTGGTAATAAAACGCCACAAGTAAAACTTTAGAGAAACTGAAAGTATAAACCACGAAATTCAGCTGTTCTTTAAAATTGTGCTATATGCTTTTCTATTTTTTAAGAATACGCTGTATAATAACAAAAGCAGATGGTTTGTCTCGATTTTACAAATTTTGTCCGAGACGGAACAATCTTCAAAGGCACCGCGAACGAAGTTTGTCTCGGGTTAAAAAACTGGACAAACTCGCTTAAATAAACAAAAATGTGTTTTTCTTGTCAATCATTTTTTTGTAACGCCATTATTCTTTTAATAACTAATAAAAGATGTGACGGACTAAAAAGGGTAAAATAATTTATAGCGTGGGTAAATGTTAAAAAAAATTGTCACCATACAATTTTTGGTGAGGATGTTTCAAAGAAAATTCCAAATTTGTCTGCTAGTGCAGATCGGCCCTAAAGTCCTTGATAAAGCAAAACAAGAGCTCTTGAGCAAAAGTAGCTCTTTTTTCAAGTTACATTCACCATATCAGCAAAGTGACGGCAACATCTGTAAGAATTAGCAACAGAACATATCACGTGATTTCCTCACCGCGTGTATTAATATCGGTGTAGGGTTTCAATCTTGTATGATTTCGTCCTTTGGTAGAATAAACGTAGATCGATTATAGTTGGTTTTGGTGTTCGATACGATTTATGGTGTTGGTTTACGATACGATTTATGAAATGGCGCCCAATGTGGGGCACTGATACCCTGAGACTCGAGAAGACAAAATGGCCGAAAAACTAGCGCGTACTCGCCCCAAACGCGGTGGAAATCGAATGACGAAATTATCAAACGAAGCGAATGAGCTTCTTCAAGTTGAACCGATCAACAAACAACGCCTGGAGTTTATTGCTGCTTCACTAAATGAGAAGTTAAGTTGGTCAAAACGTTTGACGACGAAATTATAGAGAATTGTGCTGTGGACGAAATCGAAGCAGAAATACAGGAATCGGATGAAATTAATTCTCGAGTCATGGATCTATTGCGATTAATAAACGAAGCGACTACTCCTAAGGATGACAACGAAGGAATTTCGACTGTCCCAACTACGAATGTCAGCGAAACTACATCCTCTGGTTCGAATGCAAACGAAACTGCACCCTCTGGTTACAACAATCGACTACACCTTCTGGATCAAGTGGAACTTCAACTTTGACTTTTGAAAATGTTCACATTCAATTACCGGGGAGCTCAACTTTTGGTGGAATTCAATCTTTTGACGCCCCTTCAACTTCTCACGCTGGAGTTATGCAATCATTGGATAGTCCTGCTCCAGGTAACGGTTCTCAATCACTTACTAACTTTAGCACGAATGCTAATTTAATGTCCAGTTAACCCAAGGCGATTTGCCCAAACTAGCCTTGCCAAAATTTCGAGGCGAATTGACGCAGTGGCAAAATTTTTGGGACAGTTTCAACAGTGCGATCCATGTAAACCAGCATTTAAGTTTAATCAACAAGTTCAATCATTTACATTCTTTGTTGGAAGGTCAGGCCGCGAGAGCCATACAAGGTCTAACGAGGACCGAAGCAAATTACAATTCAGCTATCGAGATATTACAAAAACGTTTTGGCAAGCCCCAGAACATTATCTCAAAACACATGGACGAAATGCTTAAGATTCCAGGATGTGTCAATGACAACGCGTCACAGCTTCGACTCGTGTACGATAAAATTAGCGTCAACATTAGAGGTTTGGAGTCATTGGGTGTAAGCTCAAACCAGTACGGTAGTCTCTTAATTCCAGTTATTATGTCAAATCTACCTCATGAAATTAGAGTTCAAGTCGCTAGAAACACTGCGCGTGAGGTCTGGGACATGTCCGAATTGTTAGAAGTTATCCGACAGGAAGTTGAGGCTCTTGAGATTAGTGAAGGCGTGAAGACCAACGTAAATCTTGAAAAGGTCAATCCCAAACCGCAGAGGACACCTACCGTGAATGCTCTCCTCTCACAAGATGGCACGCAAACATCTCCGTTAAAAGGAATTCGAGTGAAATGTGCGTATTTTAAGGGTGGTCATTTTTCAGCCTCTTGTGAAAGCGTCACCGACTCAAGGGCTCGTTTTGAAATTCTAAAGAGAGATGGCCGATGCTTTGTTTGTCTAAGTCTGGATCATCAGCGCACGTGATGTGAAAAGAACTGTCGTCGCTGCAATAGAAATCATCATCAATCAATCTGTCGACGTCAAACGCACCGTAAATCACAGCGCGATTTATTTGCTAACAAAACTTCACAAGAAACCAAAAATTCAACTCTGGTGACCCAATCAACACTATTTTTACAACTCCCACAGACGACTACGACAGCAAGTTCTGGCACAAAGGGCACAGTTTTACTGCAAACTGCCTCAGCGTCCAGGAAGTTAAAAAATGCGTAGCGTCTGGTTGCTATGTAGTGACGTAATCATCCAGTTGAGTATCTGTCATCGTAACACTTTTGCGGTCAACTACCGCAGCGCTTGTAAAGTACTTTAATTAAAATCGTGTTCAAACCCCTGTAGAGGAACTCTGTTTATTTTTGAGTCGATAAATGCACTTCCGACGTTCACGAGGTTCAATTTTGCATAAATTATCAAAAATATTGTTCAGCGGGAAACGGAACTCTATAGCGGAGCAAGACGGATGTATCGAGAGTCGAGGATGCGCTTACAAACCATTCACTATATCTATGCAACGAAAGGTGAAATCACTGGCATGATAGCTCCTGCAATGGTAATTGTATCAA